AAAAGAAGCAAATAAAATTAATGCCAAACAAGGCATACGAGGCTGTTTGAGATCACTTTATTTTATTTTATTTTTTGTTTATGTTTTAGTTTGAATTAAAACATATTTGATTGAGGTTAAAAAAAAAAAAAACATATACAAAAGCATATCAACCAAACATATTTAAAGAAAATAAAGGTGATGCCACACAGATGCTAAGCTGAATTTCCCTGCTCCATAGTTTCATATCACAACCAAAAACCTACCTTTGTCTCACATGAAGTTACATCATAACTAAGCTGACCCATCCATGCCCGTTCTTCCCACTGTAATTTTTCCAAAATTAAATAAAAATGAAATTAAAACAAAATACAAACACCATTATAAATATAAATTACCTGAGACAATATGAGGGTGTCTAGTAAGCTCAGCCCATCATCAGCAGTGCACGAAAACCCACCATCTGCACCATTTTTTTTCGTAGAAGTGCATGCTATATAAACTAACGTCTCAAAACCTTAGAGATTTCAAGGTATTTGAAAAAGGTCAACATTTCCGTTAGGCTGATTCATAAAAAAGTAGGCAACATTGATAAAAAATAAATGAATAAACAAACTTCATCATTCACTAGTGAGCTATCAATCATAAAAAAAATAGACATCAAATTCTAAAAAAAATTAGCTTGCCTCCCACCAAAACAAGAACATGATGCTACAACCCAAATTGTATTCTAGATTCAAATTTTAAGATAAATTTTAATATAAACTAACCGTGAGTCCCCAACAATGGAAACTAAGCTTGCTTAAAACACACAATTTCTTCCAAAGTTTCCCAGATATTTATATTTAAAATTTAAATCACACATCAGGGAAGATATTGATATCTCAAAGAAAATTCAACCAGTATCAAAATCACTCTTTTTCTGAGTCTTCACCACAGAGGCACAAGTAGCAATTATTCATAAAATTAAAGCATAGATAGAAAATCAAACCAGCATTAATACACAAAATAAATTAAAAATCAAGCACAAATTTCAAATAGTCTTCGAAACTTTCAACAGTTTCAGATTACAAAAAAATCCAAATTAAGCTGAACAAGAAGTTAAGCACATGTTGAAGCAGCCACATGCAGAAAAATAGCATCTAGATTAAAAAAAATATGTAAAAATACGAAACGAAGTATAATATATAGCTCAAAATACAGTATTGAAAAAATGAAGAACGAGAAGAACCTCTGAGAGGAGCATCATAGCGCTTTGACTGCTCCTGGCTGGTATTTTGCTTCACAAAAGGATACTCTCCTTCAAACCGAACGAATGACACCATAGCTAATAACGCTTACACCACACCAGATACCCGCTAAAACAAACTATACAATAACACCAGGCGCCTTCAAGCTTCTGCACCACCACCAGCAAGGCAGGTGAGGTCCGACGGATGCCCGCCGGCAGAAGGTAGGGCGCCGCGACCACCGTGAAAAGCAGGGGAAGCAATCAAGAACTTAGGGAAAGCTTGCAGGCATTCTCTTCCCCGTTTGATAATTACACGAGATTCTCCTCTTAGAGCCGTGGTTAGATTGCTGAAGCCAGCCCTAACGGGACTAGCTATATCCTCCGTTAAAAAACACAAGCAAATCAACAGATCGCGTTTCCAGATGGATCAAAGAAACCAGAACAAGAAAAAAAATAGGGACGCTATAGCAAGATGGAATCTTTCTTCACAAATCTGCCAAAAAAACAAAAATTCACAGATAAAAAGATGAATTTCTGGAAGGACCGACGAGTATAACAGCAGAGAACCCTAATTTCATACCAAGACACCGACTTTAGCTTCGGGGAGCGAATCCGAAACCCTGGAGCTTCAAGGAATGGTTTTGGGGGAAGCAGAGCTTGCCGGGGACCGCAGAGCGGAGATTGCGCCCAGGAAATGGGAGCGAGGCCTTCCAGATTTTACGGATCGCGCCGAATAGGGTTTATGGTATAAAAGGGAACCCTGCCGACCAGAAGGACAATCACGTGAATGTCCAGCTATGTGAAGGGAGGAAGAATCTCGGCTCCCAATAATTTAAAAAAATTATATATTATTTCTTAATATTTATATGTTACTTTAAGACTTATATGTTTTTAATAATTCTTAAAGACTTTATATGTATTAATAATTCTTAAAGACATTAAAATTTAGCTCCTAACATATAATATTTTTATTTATAAGAACTGTCATATTTTTAACGTGATGTTAGTTAGTATAAATATGAAAAATTGAACATTAGATATATAAATACAGAGGAATTGTGAGATATGTTTCTAAATGTGAATAATTAATAATGCGTGCTAAAAAATTTGTGGTAGTAGAGTAATAGATTATCGTCTTAGCGTTACACGAGAATTCAACACACACAAATAAAAGAAAAGAAAAAAAAATAAGCAGCAGAAGATACCTTAACTTTTTACGTAGAAAACCCTTGAAAGAGAGAAAAACCACATGGGCTAACCCGGTTGAAATAGTCCACTATAAATGATGAGTACACATATACATTCTTCTCTCGAATTAGGGAAGATGAAATTGCAAAGTTGTATAACTATAATCTGACTGTTGTTCTTTGTGAGAACATGTTGCAAGAGTCATTGTTGATTGTTGTGGAGGTAGTAGTCCATCCTGAGTGTTGTAGATGGTTGCTCCAAAAACATTGATTGGTCAGAGAAGTCATAGCAAGCAGTTACGAGAATTGTGAATCACGTAGATTATAATTGTCGAGTATTAATGACGTCCGTAGACCGCGGGGGTTGGAGTTAAGAGCTGCATGAACTGATGACTACGTAAGTCGTTGGAGTGAATATTGATGACGTTCGTAGGCCACTGGTGCTAGATTCAAGAACGGTATGATTTGATGACCACGTAGGTCGTTGGGCGAGTATTGATGACGTTTGTATGTCGCTGGGGCCAAAGTCGGGAACTACATGGGCTGATGACCGTGCAGGTTATTAGCACATTAATCGTAGTGGTGAGTTCTTGTCCTACAGACGGGAGAGGTTACTAGATTTTCCAAGTTACAACGTTGATCGACGGCATCTGGTCGGCGGTGGTTGACGATGATCGATGTTGACGACGGTCGAGATGGTGTTGGACTTCAGCTCCTTTTCAGAGCTTCCAATTCTCTCTGAAGCCTCAAGTCCCCCCCCCCTCATGTGAGGGGTGTAATACTATTTATAGTGTTCTGAATGTCATTAATGCAAGAATATGAAACATTTTGATCGGACGGTTCGAAGAGCTTCCCCGATTACACAACGTTTAATAGACATTTGAGTGCCTTATAGATGTCCGAAGTGAGTGATTTTGGGCTCGTTAGATTTTTCTTGTCGAGATGCTCGATTCGAGTATTAACTTGTCATATTTGACAACCGTTTGCCCTTCCAAATGTGTCTGGAAATCATCTAAATGTGGTTCAATGAGTTGATCTGGGCTTGATTTGACTCGAATTGGGCTATTTTTTATATAATTATGCCCGTCTCATCAAACCAGTCAATTTGACTATAAGTTTGCTGACATCGGAGCTCTGGATGACTTTTTATCAAGATTTGAATGTTTCTGCTTAAAATATCGGCTGGAAATTTGTGTTGGATGATGACAATTTGTTAGTAACGTATCAATTTATTATTGTTTGTTCTAAAGAAAATTATTCAATAAAAGTTAATTTGAATTTTAATTAATATAACATATTCCAAACATAAATATAAATTGCTAATAAATCAAATAAGTATTATGTAACTTTAATCATCTAAACAACTAATAAAATTTTTATTCTTATTATTTTTCTAGATAAATTCAACTCATTAACCTAATTGGTCAATAGAACGTCAAACGAGCCGAGCTTGAGTGAACTGAGTCTTAGCTCGAGTTCAACTCATTCCAATTTGAATCGAGTTCGAAATGACTCGTGAGCAATATGCTCGTGTACGACACGAATAATATATTTTCGTGTTCGGCTCAAAATAGCCTATGTAGAATATAAAATGTCGCGGAATCTTATCAATAATACCGTAGACGGCAGAATAACACCGATAAACACAGCGATAATATCTATGTAACGCCCGCAATAACATCTGAGTAACACCCAAATAGACTGGGTCGTTATTCCGTGGTATTATTCATGTTATTCCACGGTGTAAAACCGTGAAGTAACACTTGAGTAACACAGCGAGCACCAAAATAATACCAATAACACAACGGGTGTTACTCCATGTTATTCCGCAATATTTTTATGTTATCAGTGTTATTCCGCAATCAGTGTTATTCCGCGATGTTACACGACAGAATAACACCAATAACACCGCAGACGGAAAAATAACACTGATAACACAACAGGTGTTATTCCAGTGTTATTATGTAGTGTTATAAGTGTTATTCCGCGATGTAACACCTATGAAACACCGCAAAAATATTAAGTATATTTATATTTTTAATTATTTAATTATTTATTTATTTTCGAGCCGAACACAAACATACAAATATTTATTCGTGTTAGGCTCATTTATATTTCGAGCTTAAAAATTTATTCATGTTCGGCTCGTTAAGCTTAACGAACGAGCCCAACACGAGCTACTTAACGAGCTGAACACGAGCTATCCGTGAACAACGAACCATTTTGACAGCCCTAAGTCGACCAAACAACTAATACTTAACAGGTCACCCCATTCAACCGGATCGATCGACTCGAAATTGTGCTTAAAAATAGGCTTCTTACGCTCATAAAGCCCATTTATATCTCTCCTGCGGCCCATGATCATCAGCCGTGCATACATATATAACACCTAAACTTCACTTCTTATATTTACACCACCCAATATTTAAAATGCACAATACACCTATTTATGCATAAGGTGGCATGTATATATGTAAATACATAGAATTTGAGTGGCATGTATGTAAATCAAACATGATATATCATCAGTCTTATAAGAACCATATATATAAATACAGCTCAAGTACTATAACATATATTACTCAATCAACATCAAGTCCACAAATTTTCTTTCCTGAAGTTTGCATAGAAACATTATAAATTACATATATATCCCCAAAAGTTAGACAAGTAAAGCACGCAGCCATTTACATTTACATATAAAACCATGATTTAATTTCTACAACCAAAGAAAATATTACAAACTCTCACAAGAACAAAAGATACCAAAAACTCATCCCCCCTCCCACATCAAATAAAAAAGGGGTTTTTACATGACAGCCAGCTAAAATTTCAAATGTAACAAACTAACCGTTTCATTTCAGCCGCCCAAAACTCTCGTTACCTTCCCATCCGCCACTCCCAACTCACGCCGTTCGCAAGTGCCTGCCTCCGTTACGCGCCCATCTTCCATCGTCGCCGTCGCCGGCGCCATCGCGGCCATCTCCCATCTCCAACGGGCATTATTTTATAATAAATTACAAATACAATTTCTAAGCAAAAAGAGAGATCATCTCCCTAATAACCTCCACCTCTCTAATACCTTCTTCTCCTTAAACCTCCCTTTTTCTCATTTTGTCACCTAAAGCTCCCTTTCCATGGCGTCCTCCATCGGCTTCCTGAACCTCGCATATATGTCTGCCTTACAAAACTCCGTCGTCCTAACCCCCAATACCAAAACAAGCGCTCCATCACTTCGCCGATTTAATAATCAGAACATCCAAAAACACTTCTGCTCCTTCGCCGACGGAGGCAGGCGCTCGCAAACGGCTTGAGATGGGAGTGGCGAATGGGAAGGTAATGAGGGTTTTGGGTGGCTGGAATGAAATATTAGAAGTTTGGGTGTTTAGTATGTTATATTTGAACTTATAGGTTGCTGTCAAGTAAAAACCCCAATAAAAAAACTGAACTGAAACTGTACATTGATCTGGAATTATATAAAAACAAAAAAACAAAAACTGCTGCTCTGCATTGATCTGTAACAGATTATTGTGCATGTGAAGAACTTATAATATCTAAAGATTTATTGCAGAAATTGAATGAAAGAATGGGCATGAAGCTAAAATCAAATTGAAGGCTGCCTCCACAGGTAAAGATTAAAAATTAACTGAACAGCTAAAGGCAGCTTCCTCATGACAATAACAGCAGAACAAATGGATCAGAAAGCCTTATTAATCTGCCAGCAAGCAGCTATCTTACCGAGTGTGCAGCTATCTTACCGAGGGTGCAACTATTTCGATATAGCATTCTTAAGAATGAGTGCTCTGGAGAGATGAACGGTCGAAGTTTGACGGCAAGGAGACTGACTCGTTGCCATTCTTCACTTTGTTTCCAACCAATATACTGTGCGATGGAGTGCTATTCTGAATCACCTTGATGAAGCTGTTTCACCTTGGAGTTCTCTTCGAACGAGTTTTAGAATCTCCATAATCTGAGATGGAAGGAGAATGGTGGCTGAGAACAAATTACACAGCATAAATACTAGAGGCATTTACATAAATAGCACACAATTCTTATGTGTTTACATTTCCCACACCTAATCTTTCATATTTAAACGTATATAACTCAAAACTTTATTATCACATTAAAAATAGCACTCTTACCACTTTTTAGAAGCGAAACACACATTTTCATATATAGGCTTAAAACACCAAATCACTTCATGTAAATATGAAAGTTTAGGTGTGGGATATATAAATACATAAGAATTGCGTGCCGCGTATGTAAATTTCTCTAAATAATAACAGAACAGCTATGGAGAAACACATGTACAAGCAACTAGTCTGCAAAAATCATGGAGATACAGTGTTGGTGATCGAGTAAAAGAATGTTTTAGAATAGAGACACAAGCAGAAAGAACAAGGAAATGAAATTATTCATATAGCATATTACAGGGGAAGAGGGTAAGAGAATAAGAGAAAAACAACTATTAATTTAAGTTTTGAAAGCGACTTCAAGTAACCAAAGCATAAAATAATTGGGGCCTATGTATTTACAACATAAACTTCTTTTTTTTTCTTTAAATTTATACCAACTAAATCATACATATCACATAAAAAAAATCACTATTTTAACTTTTTAAAAAGTGAAATACACGCTCTCGCGCATTGGTAAGGTGATATGTGTGTAAAAATTGAAGTTAGGCGTTAGATATGTAAATACATAGAAAGTGATTGGTATATATGTACATCTCCCTAATTTTTTTTATACCAATACCTCCACCTAAGGCTCTATGATGGGCGCCCCAAGGGTGAACTTGTAATAGTCTTGTACTTTCTGGCAAAATAGTAAAGTCTCAGAGCTTCTCACTCTACCCCTAAACTAACTACAATGGTGACTCGTGTAAAATCTATGTAAACCCAATCTAATTTTATGGTAAATTCTCCTACCAAACTGACCCTAGAATAGGTTCCAATCTAATGCTAAAGTAACACTAAAAATAATTACAAGAAGAAAAAATTAAAGTTTTCATCAAAATTCCCCAAATGTTGGGATTATGTTAATGATGATGATGATCAACATTGTTCCACATAGATCCTAAAAAGAATTTTTATCTAAGCCACCTATTAAAGATTGACTCAAAACCGTGGAGCGGAACTATTTTGATGAAATGGTTAGAAGTCCAAAGATCCATATATATTACAATATATATTTAGATGCCTAGGTTCTTCATGACATGACAATCAATTTCATGTCAATAAGCAGCCATCCACAAGCACCTATATTTGGAAATCCTCAATTGGGTCCTTGTTAAAATATACTAATTTACGCGAGTTACGAAACCATCACACATCTCATGCCCACAAATGGGGTCTAATCATGTTGTGTGGCGGTCGGACTATGACATCCTACAAAGCAAAGGTAGCGGCGTATATTTGACAGTAAAACACGAGCATTTTCACCCAAAAATTATGAAATTTAATCGGAGAAGTCATAAAAAATGTTAACCTCCTTGCTACCCTGGTTAAGAAATAAAAGACCTTTTCGCAAAGTGATTAAGATATTAGGAATTACATGAAAATTCTCCAATAAAATATATACTTAGCGCGGGAGAAAAAAAAAGAAAAACGAATGTACCCCTGGATAGTGTTGCAGCACTGGTGAGTAGTGATCAAGCGCTACATAAACTTTTCCAAGAACAGACAAGAGAGAATCAACCTCATCACCAAGTAGATCAACCTGAGATCAATAAAAGAAATAGATAAAAAGTCTAAAGAGAATGAAAAGGAAAAGGAGCATTTACATACATATCACTCAATTCCTATATTTACATATAAAAAATATAACCATTACTTCTTTACATTTATGCCGCCTAAATTTTTTATATCACATAAAAAATATCACTACTTGGGGGTCCACAGGGGCAATTATATCAGACACCAAAACCTATCATGTGGTAGCTTTCTCTCAAGGTGGAGCAGATATGTCCAAAGCAGCGCGTACCGTGGTCTGTTGGTAGAGCAGCCTCTTTGAAGGTCGTAAGTCCCCTCACGTCACAGATTCAAATCCCCTTGTGTGTAAAGTGTGGTACTCGTTTAGCACACCTAGGGATGACCAGGGCTCGTCTAATAGCGTCCGACCATTCTTTTTTTTAATATATATATATATATATATAAATATATATATATGTATATATATAAATTGAAGTTTAGGTGATATATATATATATAAATACAATGGAATTGGGTGGTATGTATGTAAAATCTTCCAAATGAAAAACGTAAAAGAATTATGAAAATGCACTACTTGCTTTAGTGGGTTCACAATGAAAAAGCATATAAAACTTCAAAGGCAAACAAACACAAAGAAAACTTTTAATCATAACCCATTAAAATCAACTATGATGAAACAAGGCATTGTTCTCACTACAACCTAATATTTATAATAAAAAAAAAATCATAAATTTACAGGTCAAGGCTCATGACTTGGTAGGTAGAACGAAGTTCTTCCATAAGACGAATATCAAATCGAATAGGAGCTGGCAGAACTTCATGAATAAAATGAGAACCGAAAACTACAAAAATCAAATTTACCTCAGCCTCAGCTTTCTGCAGGTCCAAATTTCTTATTTCAAGAATCTTCTTGTCCCAAAAACTCTTCTTTACCAGTATATTTACATGTTGCTTTAGTGAATTGCATTGATTGCTCAGGGCTTTCAACCTGAGCATAGAACAATAGAAATTTTTAAACAAAATAGCACAAATTAAACCATTTTAACTAAGATGAAGCATTTCACAAGCTATGCATAAAGAATAACAATAGTATCTTAAAAAATTGGATCTCAGGGGCCAAAATGTAAAACTTCAACCAAAATTTTCCAATTCCTCAGAAGCAAGTGCATGTAACTAGAGTGAGATGATTGAGAATGAGAAAAATATCATTAACAAGTAGAAACTACCAGCCAATGAAAAAATGTCAGTTGATAAGAAATTTCATAGGCTCATGAATATTGCATTACATAATTAGATGGTCAATCAATTGAGGTAAATTAGTAAACTCACAGAAGAGTATGCTAACTACTTTCTAGAACAGCTAAAACTTCTGTGGGAAATCAATGTAATTCAGTGAAAGATTATAACAAGAAGGCTTTTTTAGAAATTTATTTTACAAATTCACTGAATAATATATCACAGCTTAAGAAAATTTAACTTGAAATGCATGAAGATAGTATATAAATAGAAAATAAAAATTTTAACAAAAAGATAGAGCTCTGGCAAGATCCAAGCTCATAAATCAGCATTTCTGACGGCACAATCACTCACAAAGAAAGAATAAAAGAGAAAGAAGAAGCCATTTTCCTATGAATCCTTTGTAAGCATATTTATAACTACTACAAAAGATATGACATTGGTTCTAATAACTCATGTAATCTTATTGAAAAATAAGAGCACTTTGGTTATTCCACAACCACAATTGCTAAGCAATGTTCCATCATGCATGACTTGAATAAATTTGAAAGCCTTTGACACATTATTTTTGTTTCTAATGGACGCCAAAATAATTCATGTGGTACTTGATTATAACTAATCTCAAGATAAATAAAAAATATATGAAGATCATTTCTTTACATTTTATGTTTTTTCATGAATTGTAACACATAAAACTGTATGCATGGCAAACCTTCCATGCAGAAAACCAAAAGTAATTTGACATACAGAAAGTTTTTCTAAGCCCATATTTCATCATCATCTCCCATAATATTATTGGTTGAGTCATAAGTATAGAAACCATAATAATTACCATGATAAAAAATACTTTATTTTATTGCTAATAAAATTAACCAATCATATGACAACCTCTTAATTTTTTTTTGTATCTCATTGCAAGAAGTTGTCAACCTAAGCATTCCAATATCATTAATCTCTCAATCTCAATATCTCATAATGATCTCAAGCTAAATCTTCATGCAACTTCTTTAGAGCTAACTCAACTCGAATTTTTTATTCACCTATCATATATAAATTCACTCGTAACACTTTTCTGAGAATTTCTTCCTTAATACTTTCCTAGAAATCCTAAACAAAGAACCCTGCAAGCATACTGCATCAAGACTTCCATTCCAAGTTAAGTATGCACTCAAATACCACAAAAAAAAAACCTATTCCTATGTATATATAATTGTTTGAAATTCTGAATAATGCGAAATAAATCAAAATTATTTTTATTGATATCAGAGGGGTAAAAATAACCCTTACATGAATCTTAGAATAGAAAAGATAATAAAAAGAAAATAATATGAAAGGAAAGATATATCTCCAATTAATCAATTCATATTAATTATTTGGAGATAAAAATGAAATAACATAAAATAGGTAAGCCTAAAATAAGAAAGAAAATAACTCATAATTCAAGGAAATAAAAATAAAATAGAAAACGAAATAGTTCATAATCTAAGAAAATAATTTATTCCTCGTAACTTCTCCCAGAAATATATTATTTCAAAATATAACTTCTATCACTTCACCTCAAGTTGAAAACATGTTCAACTTAGATTTAAAAACAATGGGTGTGGAAAATCCTGTGAAGTAGAACTTGAAGTCTTCATCTCGTACTTCGGTTGTCATTGACTGCAGTTCCTGCAGTGTTTGTAGTTAGGCGGAACGCTCATACAGATAATGTTGCAGGGGAGTTTGCAAGAAAATAGACAACTGCATGTGACTTTGACTACAGTTCCTAAAGTGTCTGTTGGTAGGGGAAGACTCCTACAGGTAATGTTGTAGGAGATTTTGCAGGGAAGTTGATAACTGTTGTTGTCTTTGACTGTAGTCCTTGTAGTGTTTGTAGGTAAGCAAAATGCTCCTACAAATGATGTTGCAGAGGAGTTTGCAAGAAAGTAGACAACCTACAAAAAAACTGACTTCTAGTTGACTATGATTGTCTTTGATTGCAGTTTCTGTAGTGTTTGTAGGTAGGCGGAAGGCTCCTACAAGTAATATTGCAGGGAAGTTTGTAGAGAAGTAGACAATCAAAAGGAAAAAACTACAGGTATGGCCTGCGGAAAAAGGAAAAGCATCGAAGGTAGGCCTTGCTGCAAGAAAAGCTTTAGAGGAGGCCCTGATACAGAAATCTGTAGAAGGGTCTGCTGCAAGAAAAATTCTGGATGAGGGCCTAATGCAAAAAGAAGTTTCGGAGAAAAGCCCATTGCAGTAAAAGCTCCGGAGGAGGGTCTTCTGCAAGAAAGATCCTGGAAGAGGGTCTGATGCAGGAAAAATTCCGGAGGGTCAGATGCAGGATAAAGTTCCGACGGAAGGCCTGCTGCAAAAAAAACTGCAGAGAAGGATCTGCTGCAGGAACGATTTCGGAGGAGAGTCTGATGCATGAAAGATTTCGGAGGAGGGTCTGATGCAGGAAAAAATTTGGATGAGGGCCTAATGCAGGGCAAAAGTCCAGATGAGGGCATGTTGCAGAAAAAAATTTCGAAGTGTTAGCGGAGAAGATTACTGGATGGCAAGAAGGTTTGGAATTCTACGGGGATAAAAAGATGAAGGCAATTTAACTAGCCAACATCCCTCATGTGAAATGTCGATACAAAAGAGAGCCTACCAGAGAAAGATTGGGAGTGCAATTCAATAGAACGAGTACACGCAACGACAAAATACTCCGGGAGGAGTAAATTTTCCATCAATAGACAACATCCAAAACAAACACTTTCGTTGCATGAAATACAACTCCAGAAAATCAATGCTTACTATGAGGCCTAGCAGATGAATGTGGAGCAGCGATGAGAACAAATTGTAGCCTCAAACGAGCTGACTCTCGATCATGTTCATGAAAACAATAACCTTGCAAAACATCCAATGCGACCATAGCCTGGCTAGGTGTAGTAAAAACAAAACATAGCAAAAATGAATCTCCTCTAGGATGTTTAAAATCCTTGGTTACAAGTCTCACCTTTTGTAAACCATAACCAAGTTGACTGACACTGCCATACATTCCGGGAAAAAAATAGGCTACTGCCTCTCTTATTGCAATTAGAATCCCAAGTTACATCGGTGCTCCATTCAACAGAGTCTGATCTTCTCTAAAGCTATTATTGACTTCAATAATCTTGATCCAGCCAACAGTTGCATAACTTGTCCAGATGTCACAATGGGAGTGATTCCCAACTCCATAACAGTTCCTGTGTTGGATACGAGAATTACACGCATCCAATATAACAGATCCACGTTGGTGGTAGAGTGGATGCCATAGAGGGGAAGCTGACTACAAACTAGAAAGATGAAAAGAGATATCACCATGTAGATGACAATCTACCTAAAAGGTATCATCCTCCGATCTGCACTCTCCACCTCTGACAAGATCGCTAGGAACGGCCACACCAAATGCAGCACCCTAAATACTCGCCATTTTTTTTGCATATCAATCAAAGCATGGAAACTTTAAAAATTCAGAAAAAAGACGGCAGAGAAAGCAAATCATAGCATAACAACAAAGATAAATCGAAGAAAAGTGATGGTGAAATGAACAATCAATATCTCATAAGCTTTAAACCATCGTTGCGAAAGCAACATGGATGCGCTTCATGAACTGGTCAGACGGAAACGACGAGTTAATATCTCAACAGAAAGAAGATATGACAGCAAGCTGGATCCGAGAGATGAAATTTCCCTCCCTTCCTGCAAAGAGAATGGTAGGGAGTACGACAACTCTGGAGGCAAAACTGACGTCTAGGGTAGAAAATTTGCTCTAATGCCATGTTTGAAATTCAGAATAATATGAAATAAAGCGGAATTATTTTCATTAATATGAGAGGGGCGCTTACATGAATCCAAGAATAGGAAATCTAATAAAAAGAAAATAATATGAAAGGAAAGACATATTACTTAACATCTCCAATTAATTAATTCATGTTAATTATTTGAAGATAAAGACAAATAACATAAAATAGAAAAAGAAATAACTCATAATCCAAGAAAATAAATATAAAAAAAGGAAATGAAATAAATCATAATCTAAGGAAATAATTTATTCCTCGTAACTTCTCCCATGAATAAATTATTTAATATAACTTCTAACAATAATCATAGATAAATACTTCAAAAACAAGCAATCTCTTATTGCATTGGTTATTAATCAAATTATTCATGATTAAACATCTTAATATAGGGAAATTTACGTACATAGCACACAATTTTTATGTATTTACACACCTCACATCTAAACTTTCATATTTACATACATAGCACTTTGGTGCTTTAAAACTATACATGAAAATGTGTATTTCACTTTTAAAAAGTGGTAATAGTGTTATTTTTTTATGTAAGATTAAAAATTTTAGTGTTGTGTGTCAATATGAAAGTTTGTGTTAGATATGTAAATCCACGAGAATTGTGTGCTATGTATGTGAATGCCCCCTTAATATATTGCAAATGGATACAAAAACCTGTCCCAATAACAGAAAATCGTACGCAGGGTAAAATAATGCATAAAAGAGCTATGATAGATAAGTGCTCGAAGAATGTAATAAGCAAACCTAGATTCATTTATTTTAATAGTCTCTGCCAACTTGCTTTCAAAGTCTAAGGAATCTTCTGATAATTTCTTCCATAAGCTCAGCATCACTTCTACCTGCTCTACTTCTTCCTTAGTTCCATCCAAAATTGAATATTGTGATTTATTTTCCCTTTCTTCAATGATTCCATTGAGAACAATCTTCTGCCTTTCTGATTCCTCCAAAGAACTGGAAGCAATAGCTAACTTCTGATTCAAATTATCAACCTCCATTTCATAAACAGTAAGTTGTTGTAGAGCATCATCAAACTGACTCCTCATGAAATCCGAATGAATCTTGTTCTCAGAAATGATGAGCATTTGCATGCTTATTCGATCTCTGAGTTCATCGAGCTCTCGGTAAACCGTGTCAAATTCCTCCCTTCGTTGTGTTATGGAGGTCTCACCTTCGAGCACAACTTTTTCATTCTCACTAATTAATGCAGATAAGGAAATTATTTCCTGCTTCAATTTGTCGTTCTCTTCAAGTTCTGAGTGTAATGCCGTTTCCTTCTGTGAAATTACTGAATCAAGGGAAGCCTTCTCTGCCTGTCGTTTTAGTGTAATATCATTTATCATAAACATTTCATTTCTCACAGATTCTTTAATAAAAACTGAGTAAAAATCATGAATGAAACTATTCTCCATTACAGCATTCTCCATTTGAAGATTAAGCTTACTAATAACCTCATTCAATACTATAGCATCTATTTCTTCTTTAACAGCAACTTCTGTATTCAAATCTTCAAGCTTCCCCTTCAGATTTGCTATCTGTTCCAATAAGTTTTGGTTTACTGATGCATTTTGTAATATTTGGAACCCAAAATCTGTGACCTGTGAGGATAGATACTCCGCCTCCTTCCTTTTTCCTATAAGTAAACCTCGTAGCCTTTGATTTTCGATAAACATGGAAGAAATTTTATTCTTCAAAGTACAAACCTCGTTTGAATCATCACAAACAACAAAATCTAACTCCTCCGCTAGGATATCATCTAGATTTACGATAATTCGGCGGATATGTTTCTTCAAATTTTCAATCTCCTTATCTTTCTTCGAAAACAAAGAGCCCTTTTCCTTGAGAAATTCCCTTTTCAGCCTGAACAACTCATCAGTTTTCTCTTCCATCGCTTTGTCGTGTTGCCTCCGCATTTTTGTCATTTCAATTTTATAATAATCTGCGAGATCTTCCTTCGACAAGTGCTTTAGGTGAAAATCCATAGATTCCAACATCGGTTTCCCAAAATGCTGAGCTTCCTGCATCATATTAGCACCATTTTCCCCTTTATGTGATGCAGAAGATGAGTGATTATTTCCCAAAGCCTTAACATGGAACTGATCCTTCCACCTCGTATTATTTAGCTCTTCTAAACTTTCGCTGCTGCTGTGTGATAAGAGAAGACTTTGATCCGAGTTCAATAACGACTTAGAAATAGCATTGAGATCTTCACGCACCAAGGAGAGTTCACCAACCTTCGTGCTCAGCGCATTCATCTGTTTTCGCTGCTCCAAAATCTTAGTTTCACACTTTTCCTGAATATCTCTAACATAATTCTGAACAAGAATAGCATTAATTTCTTCATGCAACTCATTCTCCCATTGCTGTTCCATTGCTGAAAGTTTCATAGAGCTAAACAAATTATTGATTTCATCAAAATAACCAAATAACATTACTCTAAAAAATTCTATTCTTTTACTGAGAACATGCAATTTCTCATCTGTTCTTCCTTGAGTAGGAACCTTGAACACCACTTTATTTGTAGAACAAACATTTGTTGAACAAGAAAATTTTGAATTTCTCACATAGTCAAACTCCTCCTTAAGCCTCTGAAACTGATTTTCAACAGACATCTTTATTCTGCTCAAATGATTGGTCGTTATACTATCAAAACTCAAGTTCAAATTTACTGATGCCGCCACTGATGGCGCCAAACTATTGACATAATTAGAAGCATGCAACTTTGCCTTCAAGCAAGCTATCTCAGCTTCCTTTAAAGCAATTTTCTCAGTACTTTCCTCAATTACAGCATTCACAATCCCCTTAATGACTGAGTCGGTTACCAATCTCGAAACCGTGAGGCGATCGTTAATCTCATCCACATAATTGTCAAAATCATCAAGCAGGAACTTCTCATAATGTGCAGATTCATTCCCAACAGTATCGGTTTCATTAAAATTGATGCCAAAAATCATGTTCTCCTCAGCCGCCGAACCAACCTCCTCGTCGGAAAGGGAGTTCTTATTCCACAGCAGATCCTGCAGCATTAGTGAGAAATTTTCCAGCTAAAAATCAATAGGAAAAATATATAAATACAGTCACCATTAATCATCGTAGATTGCTTTGTATTATTTGAGAAAAAAAAAGCTTCAGCTAAATTTATTGCATGTAAATAGCTTCCATCAAGCAAAAAAATAAAATAAAAAATAAAAAATAAACAATTGAAGTAATTCCGAATTCAAACAAAAAATAAAATACCCCTTCCCAGATGACCGATTCAAACGAAGCTAAAGCCATGAATCAAATTCTACAAAATTATAAAATATTAAAAACCCTAAACCCTAAAACATACAAAATTAAAACTCACATTCCACACTGCTCCGATTAATCAACCGCCAAAAATAACAAGCTTAACAGAGCGAAAACCCAATCCAAATCTCCTCATCACCTCACCACTCTCAAATCCCCAAACCAGCTGAACCGAGAATTCAATCAAAACACAGAAACGGAATCGCTCACCGCTTCCATCCGCTCCATTGGAAATTTCCCGCCAAATCCCTCTAAGAACTTCCGGCCGGATAAAAAACCCTACTTTCCTGCGCAGCGTCTTCGGTATCGCAAGAAAAAGAGGGACCTTTAGCTCCCAAGCTTTCGCCTTTCAGCATCCTTCTCCTCTATGTCGGTTTCTTTTAGGGTTAGGGAGAGATTTGGTCTTCGCGCGGAAAGTAAATGAGTTTTTGCCGGGGAGAAAAATATATGTGGAGTGAGAAAGTGCGGAGCTGCTGGAGTCCAGAAATCTGGGTTGCATAATTTACGATATTGCCATTAGAAAATTATGGTCAATGGATAACATGAATCACATGATTCCTTCCGAGGAAGAAAATATATTTTTTATTACATTTTCTATAAATCTCCAAACTATTTATGAAAAAGAAAGGAATAATATCAATCTTTATGATTAAAAAATAATTTAACTTGTTATATATTAATTCAATTTTAATATTAAAATGAAATGACATTTCTACCCCTTATTTTGGATAGGGCTTGAAACGATTTGTGGGCAATTAATCATGCTCTAGTCATCTTTTGTCGCGATTGACTTTGCTAGGTTGGACATCGTTAGAAGATCTATCTCTGCCAGAAAATTTGACTTCTATGTGGGACGCTTTCATTTGAAGATATTTATGAGTTTGACTCTCTCATTAGGTCTATAGTGTGGGGGTAAATTTTTGTATGGGATCAGCATCCCCTATTATGGGTCAAATGTTAAAGATTTGAACAATCCTCATATGCGTCAATTTGTCGCGATCAATCATTCTTCGTTCACCTATTGGCTCTGTAGGCTTGGTGGGTCTTTACGACCTCCTTACAAAGGGTCTCCCTTCAGCTTACTTCCTTCATCCGGACCGTTAGAATCCTATAAGATCAACGCCAACACATTTTTTTACATACAATATCAAAACAAATTTATAATACTTCACCATAATATTATAATAATTACAAAGGGTCTCCCTTCAGCTTACTTCCTTCATCCAGACCGTTAGAATCCTATAAGATCAACGGCAACACATTTTTTTACATACAATATCAAAAGGAATTTATAATACTTCACCATAATATTATAATAAATTTAAAACATGACATATTGCTTTATATCGCTAATAGTATGCATAAATTATTATTTGTTAAATTATTTTAAACTTTTTTTTCATTTCAAAAATTAGAATTTTAAAATAAGAACAAGAACATATTATTTCAAGAGCCAATTTTGAACATGAGCAATTTTAAACGAGCCAAACACGAGCTGAGCCGCTCAGGCTCGACTCGTTTACATCCCTAATGATGCACATGAAAACAGAGACAAAACTAAGTTATATGTCTACATTTGGCAATTGACCACCTTGATCTTTGAGATTTTTCTATAGAAAAGGTAAAATTTCATAATTTTACATTTTACTTATTTTACATATATATATATATATATATATATATATATTTGCTTGAAACTATGTACTTCAGGTTAAAAAAAGCAAATAATGGTGATCTTAACAATTTGAAGGTTGTGCTTGCAAATATAAATATAAAGATGTTAGATATATAAATTTACAAAAATTATATGGTATGCATATGAAAGACTTAAAAAGGTATTCATGAAAATAATCAAAATAGCTTTATTAATTCAGAAAATAATGGAATATTTATGTAACTAATAAGAAATAAGATGTGGGCCCTATTTGGTGCAGCTTATTTGGTGCGGTGAGTTTTGAAAACACATCCAGGACCGTTAGGGTAAACTGCATTTTGACATCTTATTCAAAAAACTGCTTTTTTCAAACCGCTTAAATCAATATTAGACTTTTCAAAAAAAAAATTGTAATAGCCTCCATAACTTTTTGAATAATAGATTATTTTTCAGTAGCTTATTAATAAATTGTAGCTCCTCCAAACATAATCTAAATTTACTGTTCATAATTTGTAAAATACATTATATGCTTCAAATAAATGATTGAAATTAACAAACTAAGAAACAAAATTATATCATTTTTTTTTGTAAATAGTTTTATTTCTTGGTGCAGCTAATTTAGTGCGGTGCATTTTGAAAACACATCCAGGACCGTTAGGGTAAACTGTATTTTGGCAGATTATTCAAAAAACTACGTTTTCAAACCGCTTAAATCAATATTTTCACACTGTTTCTGGCTACCGCAAGCCCTTCAAAAAAAAAATTGTAATAGGCTCCATAACTTTTTGAATAATAGATTATTTTTCAGTAGCTTATTAATAAATTGTAGCTTCTCCAAACATAATCTAAATTTACGGTTCATAATTTGTAAAATCCATTATATGCTTCAAATAAATGATTGAAATTAACAAACTAAGAAACAAAATTATATCATTTTTTTTTTGTAAATAGTTTTATTTCTATGCTATTTCTAAAAAAAATATTAAACATAGTTAAATATATAATAAATGCACTTTTCATGCATCCTAAAAGCAGCTAGACAAAAGTATTTACCTACAGATGCAACAATACAAAAACAGCCAATTTTTAAGCCATCAGGCTCAACATATTACGCTTGTGTGCGTACCATAGCCTGTTGGTAGAATAACTACTGAAAGTCGTAAGTCCACTCAGATCACGGGTTTGAATCCCCACTCTTTGCTGCCGCCATTGATATCTTCAGCTTTCCCCCAAAGCACTGCGTATAAACCGGCTATAATGGCCGCCGCGCCGACCAAGCTGATCAAAAAAAAATTTTTGTTAGGGCGAAGTTCGAGCGAAGCAAATGCTCATTCGTGTTCGGCTCGTTCGAATTTTTTTTCGTTCCAAATAGTATCACGTATGATACTTTTTGTCAACAACATGTTTATGATTGGCTTGATTCAAACCGACCATCTGAACCAATGTATTCACGCATGCCATGATCAGGCTATTGAGAATTTGATAAAAATGAAAAATATGGGTTATGGTTTTACTATAAATTTTGTTATTTGACTGAAAATTAGAAAAATGGACAAAAGAGTATATATATATATATCATTTTAAAGGATATGACAGTCGAATGAATAGAAAGATATGATTGTATATTAAAATCAAAAGCCATCTTTTTTGACGAAGTCCACACGTTCTTAAACCAGTCTTTACCTCGCCACTAAACAATATAAATGAACGCTCGTTTACAAGCATACCACCCAAGTCCTATGTATTTACATATCTAACACCTAAACTTTGCTTTTTTACATTTGCACCACCCAACTTTTTCACATACATAAAAAAAGAAAAAGTGAGATGCACATTTTCATGCATCTAAAAATCGAACTTTGCATGTTAGATATATAAAAAAATGGGAATTGAGGGGTATGCATGTAAATCTTGTCACTATAAAATGAATTTTAATCTGCTTCTAAACTTTAGAAGTTCACATTCTCCATACCTTACTCTGCAACTACTGCCATGAGCTCATCCTCAAAGTCTTCTACTTTCTTCTGCTGTTTGATTCAAGCATATTTCTTATGCTCAGAGCTTGTTCATGGCTGTTCAGAAGCTGAAAGACGGGCCCTTCTTCAGTTCAGAACTGGCCTCGTTGATTCCGAAAGCCGGCTTTCATCGTGGCGAGGAAGACAATGCTGTTCATGGAGAGGGGTGAGGTGTGATAACCATACTGGTTCAGTTACTTCGATAAATCTTCGCAATCCATATCCAGATACTACAAGTTCTGGGAATTCTGAATCTCATGGATTCTGGAACTTGAGTGGAGAAATAGATTCTTCTTTGCTCCAGCTGAACTCACTTGAACAATTAGATTTGAGCTACAACACATTTGAAGGCATTCCAATACCTCATTTCTTCGGTTTTCTGAAAAAGTTGAGATATCTGAACCTGTCGAATGCCGGATTTTCCGGCACTGTGCCGAGTCAGTTGGGGAATTTGTCCAGTTTGCAGTATCTTGATCTTTCTTCGAGTTTCTCTCTATTAGTGGTTGATTTTGAGTGGATATCCCGCCTTTATTCGTTGAAATTCCTCTCGATGAACTCAGTTGATCTTTCGATGGCTGGACCGGGATTGTTTGTGGTGCTGAACAGGCTCTCCACCTTGAGAGAATTGCATTTATCAAGCTGCGCGGTTAGTGGAATTGTTCAGAATCTTCCCATGAACAATCTCACTTCGCTTCGATTCATGGATCTCTCCTCTAACAGCTTCAATGATGTGATCCCCAGCTGGTTTGCTAACTTCAGTAGCCTGGTTCATTTAGACTTGAGCGGTGCAGGTTTTTACGGTCAGATCCCCGAGATCTCGAAGATTTCTAGTTTGAAACATGTTGATCTATCCATGAACGATAATCTCACGGCCAACATTTCCGAGCTTCTTGGAGGAAACTGGAGGCAAATAGAGACTATTCGATTGGCAACGAATAAAGTGGAAGGATTTCTTCCTGATTCTATTGGGAACCTCACTTCACTTGTAGAGCTTAACCTCTTTGATAATAAGATTGCAGGTGGGATCCCGAGCTCCATCGGTAAGATTTGTAATTTGGAAATTTTGAATTTGGATGGTAATAACCTGACTCATGATCTTCCCAAGTCCATGGAAGTGGAAGGATGTTTATCAGATAGACCCCTGCAAAAACTATATTATTTCAGTACGAGTGTCAATGGAATTGGAGGTATTTTACCAGAATGGTTGGGTGAGCTCCAGAATCTCAGGATCCTGAATCTTGCTTATAACATTATTACAGGTCCCATTCCGCAAAATCTAGGAAACTTGTCACATCTCATTCAACTCAGCCTCGACGGAAATCAACTTAACAGCAGTCTTCCATCAACTCTGGGAAATCTTTCGAAACTCGAAGTCTTTGGTGTATCATCCAACCGATTAACCGGAACTGTGAATGAGGAGCACTTCTCGAAGCTGAGCAGGTTGAAAATCTTATTGATGTCTTCAAACCCCTTGACCGTTAAGTTTATCTCGAGCTGGGTACCTCCATTTCAGATTCGAAATCTTGCAATGGGTTCGTGTCGGTTGGGTTTTCCGTTTCCTTCCTGGATTGAAACCCAGAGAGAGCTTCAATACCTTGATATCTCCAATAGTTCAATTTCTGGCAAGATACCAGTATGGTTTTGGGATCTTTCTTCCAATCTATCTCTTTTAAATATTTCCTTCAATAAGTTAGAAGGCCAGATACCAAATCCTATGAAAATTGCTCCTTTTGCTGATGTGGATTTGAGAAATAATATTTTCAGTGGGTCGATTCCAATGCCATCGACTCAGGTAGAGCTGCTCGACCTCTCCCACAATCAATTTTCTGGTACCATTCCTTCCAACTTTGGTAAATTGCAGCCTTACATAATCCACCTCTCTCTCTCCCACAACAATTTATCTGGAACAATTCCTTCTTCAATTGGAAATCTTCAGGAGGTTCAAATCATAAATCTTTCAAACAATTATCTAACCGGTCCAATCCCTTCAAGCTTGAAGAACTGCTCTTACCTCAAAGCTCTGGTTCTGGAACACAACAGCCTCTCAGGACAAATTCCTCATTCTCTTGGGAATCTTCTACAGCTGCAGACTCTGCATCTCAGCAACAATGGCCTATTAGGTTTGATCCCTCGATCCCTGCAGAACTGCACGAACCTGGAGACTCTCGATCTCGGAAACAACAATCTCAACGGTTCGATCCCAGCTTGGTTAGGTGAGAGACTCCTCAAGCTTCTCATCCTTCGATTGAGATCGAACAGGCTCACAGGCGAAATATCATCTCAGCTTTCCAATCTCAAATCCTTGCAAGTGCTTGATCTCGCCAACAACCTCATTTCCGGGACAATTCCTCATAGTTTCGGAGCCTTCAAAGCCATGAATAGGCCACCAAAGGTAAATATTTATCTTTTATATGGCCACTACAGAGGAACCTACTATGAAGAGAGCATATCAATTGAAGTAAACAACAGAGCACAAATATACACCAAAACGCTCTCACTTGTGACCAGTATTGATCTTTCAAGAAACAAGCTGTCAGGTGAATTCCCACAAACTTTGACAGATCTCTCGGGCTTGCATATTTTGGACCTTTCTGAGAACAATCTAACAGGAAAGTCCCAGAAAACATTGCTGGAATGAAAATATTGGAATATTTGGATCTTTCAAGAAATCATTTTTTTGGCAGGATTCCTACCACCATGTCATCCCTCATGTTTCTAAGCAACCTCAATTTATCAAACAACAATTTTTCCGGACCGGTACCGGAAGGTGGTCAGATGATGACCTTCAGTCCATCCGCATTTTCTGGCAACAGCCTTCTTTGTGGCCAACTGCTCGCGGTGATTTGCTACGAAAATGATGCTGATGTGAACGGAAAATTGAATCACAACGATGGTGATGATAACAACCAGGAGTTAGTAGATGATTGGTTTTATCTAGGCGTTGGCATGGGATTTGCAGTAGGGCTACTAGGACTGGTTGCTGTAATTTTTATCAAAAAGACATGGTCTGATGCTTATTTTGAATTTGTTGAATGGTTAGTTGGAAAATTAGTAAATGTGGAGAGATTTGTGCCGGGAAACCAAATAGGCTGAGCTAGAATATTGCAGCTCAAAATCTGATATAGTTCTGACATAATTAAAATATTAAGCTTTTCTAGTACATTTTGTTCAATATAAGCATCTCTTTTCTTCGCAACAGTTACATCTCTTTCATGTATTAGGATATCCCCTGACTATTGGGTCATTTTAGTCCCAAAGCCTATATAAGTGTCAAATTAGTTCCCAAACTCTTTTAATACAGGCTGAAATGGTCTCAGGAAGAATAATTTTAGCTCTCACCTAAAAAATATGGGGATTAATATGACATTTTTATAAACTCTGGGACCAATATGAACCTCTATAAAAAGATAGGGAATCATTTTGACACTTTTCTCATTAAAATGCCATTGCCACTCTTTATTTTCTTCCACCTCTTGCCATAAAGTTTCTTCAAAATAAAAGCAAATACTACCAATGTCCCAACAACCGTTTCTTCTTTTTTTCCATGTATTCATTATGGTTTTGGATGTTTGTATGTGAGATGACTTTTTTTTTTATTTCGCGATTTGTTGGATTTTTTACCTTTGAAATTTTGTTTTGGGAGCCATTTGATTGCTTGGTATTAGAAAAGTGACGGTTGAGAAGATTTATGAATTTACTAGATTTTACCATTTGATTGGATAAATTTTAAAAATAAGATTAAATTTAAACTCTATAAACGCCTTAAAATTTCTAATCAAAGCATTAAATCCACAATGATTTGCATTTGCAAAGCTTATCCGAATAGATTAATTCAATCAGATTTTACTGAAATCTTTCACCCACTTTTCCTAAATTTCTAATACCAGAGTTAACCCAAACCACGACGCACGAAATAATTTATTCATGAGTTAAAAAGGTTACAATGAAAACTCAAAAGAAAGAAAAACAACACACTAAACAAAAACACAAAATAACTGATTGCAAATAAAGACTTGAAAAAATAAGACACAACAAGCTTGATGAGGAGGGAGTCTGAGCAGAGGTGAAAGGCAGGCGGCTACGGTGAATACCAGAGTGGTGACTCGCTGCTGTTGAAGGGATTGGCAGCAAATCAGCAAGGGTAGGAGCATCGAATCTTAGTTGGAGGAAGCTTGTAAGGGGTAGTTGTGGTTGTGGCTTGCAGGGAGAGTTCGTTGTTTTGTTGTTGGAGTGACGTTGTCGAGGGCAGTGGTGGTTGTGACTTGCAGGGAAGCTACAGGGAGAGTTCGTTGGCCTGTCGATGGCCTGCTGGTGACTGCAGCCTCCGGCAGCCTACTGAAAGAGCAGGGGGCAGTGGCCTACTGGTGGATGAACGGTTGCGGCAACTTACTGGAAGAACAAGGGTTGGCGGCGTAGGAGTGCAGAGAGATCGGTGGGGGCCTGCTGTAGAACTGAGAAGCGGTTAATAATAACAGGGAGGGTGGACAGATAGATAAATATCTCGATGAGGTCGAGCTACAACAGAAGCACCATCCGGTTCCGTGGAGACAATCACCACTTCGGGCGAGGGACAGCCGGAGCGCTACCTCGATGTTAAATACAACCCTCGAAGAGAAAGTACCGAGGCCAAAACATGACTTCATATATAAAAAAAAAGACCCCTAACACTAAGCATATCTCCTCCTATTTATAAAGAGGCTTGACTCATTTTTGGAAACTTTTTTTAAAATAAAAAAAGAGAATAAAAATATGGTTTCACAATTTAGGAAAGGATTTTAAAATAAGGAAGGAGAATGAAATAAAATTAGGATTCGGATTTTAGGAAATGATTTAAATTGGAAATGGCCTAGGAAGAAAATGAATGAAAAGGAAAGGAGGGGGCAACAACCCACCCCCCTTGAGGACCAGTCGCACCCCCCCCCCCCCCCCCCGCCCCCCCCCCCTCGCCGCCCCGTGTCCCGTGTCAGTCTCTCGGGGATGGAGGAGCTTCGACTTCATCTTTCAAAGTTTCTATTTCCTTGTCTTTAATCCTGACAGCATCTGGATCCCACTATCAGCTATACTGTCTCTCAAAGCACTTGCAAGCGTACTTCCATCTCGGTCCAATCTCTTGTGACTAAAATCTCTTGCATGTGGTGGCCATGATGGTGGAGAATTGATTGCCACTAAAACCGGTCCCGCTATTCTGCTAGTACGGGATCCTGTCTCCTCGGGTGCTGCCGAAGAAAGTAGAATGAGATGTTTGTCGTCCTTCGTGAAGGAATACGTGCTTCTAAATCCATTGTGCTTAGTCTTCCAATCAAATTGTCACGGCCGTCCTAGCATAAGGTGACAGACATGCATGAGAACCACGTCACATCATAGCTTGTCCTGCAGCTGACTCCCTATTGAAAAACTCTACTAGACATTGCCAATCAATACTGACCATGTTTTCCTTATTCAACTGTGTTAGTAAATATGGTTGGGAATACCTCTGAGTCGTGAGTCTCCGTTTCTCTACTATCTGAGTCGATGTCACATTCATACTACTTCCTCTGTCGATGATGAAATGACATACCTTCCCATTTAAGGCGCAACGCGCGTAGAAAATACTGTGACAAGGCCACTGCGAATCCCTTATATCAATATTGATCTGTAGGATCCTTCGAATAACTAGAGTTTCTCCTTCGTCTGGGAGAAGATTATGTATCTCACTCTAGTCCTAAGCTGTCTGCTCTTCACGGACCTCTTCCACAACGTCATGCTCGGTAAAAGATACAACTCAGCTTGAATTATATTTTTTTATGTTACATTTCATATATTTGCTGTGTCAATCAGGAAGGACGGAAATCAAACAACTAATTTAGGAGTTTTTAATAATTAGGAGTTTTCTTATTTAAATTATTTCCAATGTTTATATTCTGATTTACTTCCCTTTTAGCTGAATATTTAGATTAGGGATATGCATTATTAAGTTACCTAAAATAGATTATGCATTTATTTTGTACCTAAAATAGATTGTAAGATTATTATTTAATGGAATGAAAGAAAAGAGAAAAGACATCGAGTCTATTCAGAATTCAGCCTATGTTTCTCAAAATTTTGACATGGTATCAGAGCCAAATTTTTTCTCTAACCACCAGTAGTCGTGGGAGGACCATCAAAACTCCCTTCCCGCCTGTTTTCTTGCGGGAAGGGAGGAACTATTTTTTTACCTTGATTCGCCCATCTAACAAAGCCCCTCGCGACGGAAGCAGACAGGACACACCACTCTGCACGTCCCTCAGAGTCACGTCCAATATTTACAACCTGAATCTTTGGCGTCTTCGAGGTAAGGAATTGTTTGTCCTTCTTCAACTGCAAATCTCCGAGAGTTTCGTTGGGACTGGTCGTCTTTGTCTATAAGCCTCGTCTACTTCGTCTGCGCCGTTCGACTGCTTCGGTGGCTTTTTTTGGACTGTTCGCCTGCTCATTTGGCTCACTCGACCTTGAGTGTTCGGTCTCCTGAAGTGCTTCGCCTGCTTCCACTACTTCGCTTGATTGTCAGCCTTGATTGTTTGGTCGATTAATTGGTTCATCAGTTCCGTCTACTACGCTTGCTCCCTCTACTTCATTTGCTTCATCTTTGACTGGTTCCGCCTCCCGCCTCTTCGTTCGAACTCCGTCGACTGCTTGCTCTGAGCTGTCGGCGTTCACAAGGGGAGGAGGCAGCGAGGTCGTCAATAACCCAGGTCCCCCCCCCATCCATCCATCGTCAAGCAGAACGGGCATTCGACCTGGATGATGAGCCACCCATCGGCGTTGAGCATGTTTGATGAGATCATGAGAGCGTCGAAGGGTTAACAGGTCGTGATGTTTCTTGATTATGATGGCATGCTCTCGCCTATCGTCGATGATCCCGACCGCGCTTTCATGCCCGATGCGGTTCGTGACTTGTTTGTGTATATGCTTCTGATGATATGAGTTTTAGTATTGAATGCATTATGATATATGCCGAAGCCGTGAGATTAGATCTGTTGGTCGGGGGAGCTTCATAAAATTTAAAATAAGAAAAGCTAAATATTGGCGGTAACATAGAGGAGTATGAGATATTGGAGCAGATTGGCAAAGGGGCTTGTGGCTCTGCTCTTCTCGTGAAAAATAAGGTGGAAAAAAAAATTATGTCTTGAAGAAGATCAGACTTGCTTGACGGGCAGATAGATGTCGCGGGCCTGCTCGCCAAGAGATGGAACTTATTCTAAAGTGCAAAATCCATTCATTGTGGAGTATAAAGATTTTTGGGTTGAAAAGGGTTGTTATGTTTGTATTATCATTCGTCCAATTTAGATCTTCTTCACTAGGCATCGATGCTTCTGTGGTATCTTTGACACTCAACGGCTTTGACATCTCGGCTTCAGCACTTTTGGCATGAAGATTAGGAAACAAATCGTCATCGTCGTCGCATAAAGAATCAATAACATTTGAATCGTATAACAAGACGTGAATCCTACTTGTGGACTATGATCGCTAGCATTTGGATCAGGACGCGGATCCTAATTGTAGGCTATGATCGATAGCATTTGGATCATGTAACTGGATCCTATTTGTGGACTATATTCCGTAGCATTTGAATCAGGACGCGGATCATTTGGATCATGTAACTGGATCCTATTTGTGGGCTATATTCCGTAGCATTTGAATCAGGACGCGGATCATACTTGTAGGTTATGATCGATAACATTTGGATCCTGTAATTAAATCCTATTTGTGGGCTATGATCTATAAAATTTGGATCGTATAACTGAAAGCAGATCCTTCTTGTGGCTATGATTCGAGTTTCTGGACGACAATGATAAATAATTTTTTGTTTTTCTTTGCTCCAATCATGTTATGGTTCATGAGTTGTCTCTAAGGCTTCGACATTCTCAATTTCAACAATTTTGACTTCGGCACTCACGACTTGAGGATTGTTGCTCTTGACAAAATTTCTTGTTGGCAAATTGATGCTTCCTTATCAGTCAGCATCAATTTGAGGGGGGATGTCAATTAGTAAGAACGAAAATCATGCAGCTAATTTAGGAGTTTTCTATAATTAGAAGCTTCCTTACTTAAATTATTTTCATTGTCTTTATTCTGATTTATTTCCCTTTTAGCTGAATATTTAGATTAGAAATATGTATTATTAAGTTACCTAAAATAGATTATTCATTTTATTTTGTACATACAATAGACTGTAAGATTATTATTTAATGGAATGAAAGCAAAGGAAAAAGACATCGAGCCTATTCAAAATTCAACCTATTTTTCTCAAAACTTTAACATGTTATTTCCAACTTTTATTTTAAAATGCAAAAAGTCTATGTTTCCTTTTAAATGTTGAATGCAATTTTTCTTTTAAATATTAAATGCAAGATAAAAATGAATAAAATATGATATATGCATACATGTGAGAGTCATCCCTGGATGATACTAGAAGAAGAATGCATTGTACTCGTGCACCAAATGAAAATGAAATGGAAATGAAAATATAAATAAAAATTGTTGCTTACTTTTATGGTAGGCTGGAAAAGATTAAACATATATTTTTATAAAGTATATGTCCCAATTATGAAAAATGTAACCTAAATAAATGAAAAAATAATGAAATTTATTTTCTTTACTGCTCTCTTTTACTGTTGCCACATTTTAAAAAAAAAAATTTTAACATGAGAATTATTGTAATTTGTAAACCTTTACCAACTAAGTAGTTTTAACTCAAATGATAAATGCTAACATTTTTATAGGAAAACCAGTTGTAAATTAGATGGACCCCAGGGAGCACGCGTACAGACGCCGTAAAGCGCAAGCTGATAGCTTCATGTTTTAGTTTATTTTCTATTTGAATGTAAATATTTAAATATGAACAATCTACTGTAAATATAAGTTTTTGTATAAAACGACTCTTTTGTGCATTGGATTTCATTTTATGTTTAAGAAATGAAACTGTTAGATAAGTTTCCTCCGTCCAACCGTCAAATCCCGCCTTGATCATTCCAAACTCACCAGCCTGGGTGATGACATTTTCATCTCTTCAGCTATATAAGATGAAGCGATATCAGATTTATCAATTGGTGTCTCAACATGTAAGCTCATTTAGGTTTTTCAGTTGTTTCTAATAGTCTAGAAAGCCTCAAAGATTCTCCATGCTCATCCATATTACTCCTTCATCTCTTCTTATTTCTTTGACAACTAATTTTAACTTAAGAATTTGCTACTTTGGGAAACCTCAATCCACCACATTTAAAATAAACTGTGCTTAGAACATTCAATTCATTTAGAAAAAAAAAATCTATGGCATACAAACACAACCAGTCCCATTGATTACTTTAGCTACATAGATTGCATTGGTTTGCAATTAGTCCTCTACTGCAACCCTCTGATGATGGAGATTTTTGGAGGATCCGACGTAATATTCAATACTCTCCAATGAAGGAATATTTAAACTTCATCTAATAGTATCATAGTTATCAATAATAGAAAATAAAGATTGCATCCTTCTATGATCGGATCATCCTCAAGAAGACTTAGTTGGCCAATCTTAAGGCTGATCAAATCGGCTGAAGATAGCTACAATGATGTTTCCAATTGCCAATCTAAAATTTTCTCATGACTACATAAGTAAAAAATGACAAAAACTTTGTTAGTTAAATTGGTGAAAGTAATTCTGCGAAGTTTGTCAGCCCTTAATGAACCCAAAGGCAATATCATCATTTCTTATAATATATTAAAAATCCTTTTCTTTTTCAAAAGGTAAATGTTAGCTCCAGAAGTCGATGCTTCAAGCTTTTATGGTATAGTTAGATTAGAAATCACTCATTTTGATATGTATTAAAATGTAGAACCACCGGATACGATTTCTTTTAAGAATTAAGAATATTTTTAGTCACAATTCTATATAACATTAAAATGAAACAAATCAATATTATACTTGAAAGTTGTATAAAGACTCAAACTTGACGAGGCTGTAAAGTTCTACTAAGAATTCCTTTAAGGGAAATTTACATACATACAACACAACTTTTATGTATTTAGATATCTAACACCTAAAGTTTGGCATTTACATTTATAAAACCTAGATGCTATAAAACTTGCATAAACAATGCATTTCACTCTTAAAAAGTTATTAAAAGTCGTAATTTTATGTGATGTCAAAATTGTGGATGTTATGAATGTAAATATTGCCTGACTAAAATTATACAAATTAGCTCACAAAAAGCACCAAACCTTTCATTTAACAAATAAAATACATAAAATCTCTATCAATTAACAAAGAGTAGAGCATTTATCTTGTGAGCAGAACCATCCCATTTTCAGAATATAAGAGAAGCTGATTAGAAAGAAAGCATCAAGTCTAAATTAATACATTTATCTTTACTTCATGTTTGTTTGGAGCTAAAGAAGTGATTGTATCATTCTTAACACACCTTCTCTCAGCTCCGTTTGGTCTCATCTGTTGGGCAAGATAGACAGGCAGTCTTCGGCAGGCACTTGGCAGCTCTCCGCGATAAGCTTTGCATATGTACTTTTCGAAGTTATCGTAATCCTATAAACAAACAATTAGCGGCCCATAAGTTTATGGTTTTAGATGAATCCAAATTACTTCTCAAAATGATAATGCATTGCTAAGATTAGGTGTATTTCACTTTATAAAAGTTAGTATTTGTGATATTTTTATGTGGAGTTAAAAGATTTGAGTGTTATTCAAGGAAATAATAAAGTTTAGGCATTAGAAACGTAAATATAGAACTGTGCGAGATGTATGTAAATCCCTCATCAAATAAGTGGAATTAACATCTATGCCACACAATTCTTGTGTATTTGCATATCTACCATCTGAAGTTTAATTATATAACACTTTAACGCAGGTATGGAACGTGTATTTCACTACAAAAAAGTTTCTAGTGGTGGTGTTTTTTATGTGATGTTAAGGATTTAAGTGTTATATAAGTAAATATTAAAGGGTAGCGGTCAGAAATGTAAATATGTAAGAATTGTGTGATATGTGTTTAAACCCCCCGTGAAATAGATGACGTGCGTTCAGACATATCTTTAATAAACCAAAATTTCAAAAAAAATTCTATCTTTATAATGGTAATGATTTACCCTGAAGAACAAAAAAAAAATCCATTAAAACAAGATAACTACCACAAACTGATGAAATTTTCAATTTGTGGAGAGAAGCAGTTATGGATCATCGTAATGACATTCAAAAAGCCAGGCTTCCTACCATTGAACAAATAGGCAGGAGATCTCAAATCAAAGTTTCATTTAAATCTCTTAGAATAATTTTATATATATCAATATAATAAAGGAAGATTAACATACATGCCATTCAATTCCTAGGTATTTACATATCTAACGCCTAAACTTCAATTTTTTTACATACACCTGTTGACCTCATTTTTGGTGAGGTCTTAGTCTCCTACTCTTAGAACCTAGGATCTAGCTTTAGGAGTTCTTATTGACCATCCTAGCGGACTAGCGATGGAGCCACCTCCCGTAGAACTTCAAGCCAATTCTTGACTCATTTTTGTGAAGAACTCGCATGAGTGGTTCCAAGCACTCAACTTCTAGTTGCAAGGGCTAAGGACCAACATGTAGAGGGCTCGAAATTGAGTTCCTATAGGATCAAATAGCCTTAGGTGAACCCTTTGTGACTCGATTATTCGTGAACGCCGCA